GTCAATGGTATAGAAATGCATTGCTTGGTGGTGATCTCTAAACCCCAAGACTCTTCTCTCTCTTATTTATTCTTAGTTGCATTATTTTGTTATTACTTAGTTTAATTTAGTTGCTCTCTAGTCTAATCAACCAACCAACCAATTGTTTGATCACTCAACTTACTAGCCCTAACAGCGATTCCACAACCTTGTTCAACCCTCACAATTCCTTGGGACGATCCCTACTCGCCCTAGCTATATTTATAGTGAAAGGTAGTAGTGGCTTTTATAAATGTAAAACTCTTGGCCCTCGCCTTAATGCACACTCTCAAACTTGATGGTACGGTGACACACCACAGTCATCCCTAAAACTACAATGAAAATAAAAATCAAGGCGTAACAAGAATGAATGACATTAGGAAAATACAATAATGTGAAGTAGGAGAATTCAAAATCCCAATCCTCTACAAACCTAACAAACTCAACTACAAAAAGTTTTACATTTCATTTATTTGTCACATTCACATAGTTATTTTATTGCAATGTTTGCAGCCAAATATAAGAATGTTACAACCCTTGGAAAATGAATAATACTTAGGTCCCTCACTAGTGAGGATCTACACCATCCTCACTAGTGATGTGGACCAATAATAAATCACCATTTCTGTGATTTGGTAAGTGAGTATTTACCCACCATATTTGGTGTGTGCCGTACTTATGCACCAAAAATTTGCAAAAGATGTTGAACTAAGAGTGTGAGTATGCAATGTGGCCAAGTTTTAAATTTGTAAAAGCCACCACTACCTCTAACTAAAAATATAGCTAGGGTGAGTAAGGATCATCCCAAGGGATTTATGGGTACCGTTGCAATGGAAACAATATATAGGGTTAGAAGGTCGAGTGATCAAAGATTGGTTGGATTGATTGATTAAACTATTATGCAATTGAAATTAAAGTAAACAAAATTCAATAATTAATAAATTAAAGAAAGATATAGAGGGAAGGACTTGGGGTACTAGAGCTCACCACTAAGCTTGACTTCACTAGACACTAGCAATTGTAAATTAATGGGAAAATTGACTTGTAACTTGTGTGTGTGTGTAATATTAATTGAAACTAGGCATAGATGACAAATAAATATAGCTTGTCAAGTTAAATCAAATGAAAAGCACAACCTATCAAATGAGACCAAAATCCATTCAATGAAACCACAATTTATGCACACACAACTATCTAGAAACATACACCTAATGCATTCATAAGTATGGAACACCAAGGAATAAGAGTAGATTGTCCACCTAACAATGAATTTAAAGCAACTACACTACATTTGCACTAAAGACATGAAATTTAACTAAGTAAGCTAAAGTTGTGGTACAATCCATCAAGAAACAAGTGTGAACCATCAAATAAATTGCAAGAGTGTTCAATTAAGCTCTATGTTTTGACCATCTCTAGATTAACTTCATCCATACACATAGACATGCATAAATTCCACTAAATCTAGAGAAAAACACATGAATTATCCATTCTAGCATACATAGACATATGGTTAGAAATAGATAATCAGTTGAAAATATTAATCCATACACATCAAGTAGAAACCACAAGATATATATAAAAATCCAAGATCAAAACATTGTTACAAATAAATCCCCAAAAATATACAAAGAACTAAGTCTAGGAAGCAAACTTAGGGGCTACTCTAGCCCCAAGTAAATGTCTAGCCACTCATTGAAGTAGTCATCCAACCCTCAAGGGTTATCTCCATGGTAGGAATCAAGAAACCCTAGAAGAATGGAAGAACTCTCAAAATGTGTAAAAACTCTCTAATCTCCAACCTCCTCTCCAAGATAAGAAAATACAAGTTATGAATAACAACTATGCCATAAAAGTGGCTCTCAATCCTTATATAGGTAGGTCAAATGTCACCCCAATGGTCTGGGCTCGTACACGAAGGTCCTTCCAATGATTGCACCATGACCCAACTTTTAATGAGCTCAATCTATTTTTTTTCGGACTTAAGAAAGTTCGATCAATCGAACTGTGTTGAGATCGATCGAACATGGCTGAGATCCATCGAATGCTGTAGAGATCGATCTTCTTTGGCGTCTCCTTTTTGAATAAAGACAAATCTATGAGATATTTTTGGGAAGAAGACAAAAGTGGTAGGTGGGTGGTAGGTGTGGATAAGATCAAATCATTTCGATCGATCTGGAAAATGTTGGATCGATCGAACTTATTGGATTCTTTTGGATAAGGACAATGGCTTGGATCCATCTTAAGTTGTTTAGATCGATGAACTTTCAATCGATCGAAGAAATGCTGAGATCGATCGAACATGCTGAATTTCCACACTTTGCTTCAGTTTACTCCTTTCTTCCATTCAGCTCGAGTTAACTCCTTTCTTCCATTCAGCTTGAGTTAACTCCTTTCTTCCATTCAGCTTGAGTTAACTCCTTTAATGCTCTTATTTGGCTGAATTGACTTATTTTTGTGATAAGCACCTGAAAAGGGCAATAACACGAAATTAGTCTAAAACGGAAAAGTATGATAGATAAAGGTCCTAGAATACTCAAGCTTAAGGGGTTTAAATGCACACTTTTCAGCGCTCATCAATATTAAATTTAGTAATTAAAGATGATATGTATATTTATTATTGGTTCACATCTGAGGATGGTATAGATCCTCACTAGTGAGGACCTAAGCATTGCTCTTGGAAAATATATTTCGGGAAATTTTTTTTTTTTGGATGATTGTTTTGGGAAAATATTCCGGAAATAATGAAAATATGATCCGGGAAAATATTGTACTTCAAAACAAATGTAGCCTATAGAAAATAAGAAGTTTGCTATTCACACCAAAACTGCAATACAACTATTAAGAACGTACCTGATGAAACAATTATTCTGTCATGACCAGGGGCGGCTTAATGTTATTTGAGGCCTTAGGCGAAAAAAAATAAAGTGGCCTTTTAATTAAATCTACCCATATATTTATGTCAGTATTATGCTAATTATTTGTTTTGTGATTTTTAAACCTATCGCTAAATTTTTTCCAAACTCTAGTTCCATTGTTAATTAATTGGCCATGTGCTTTCTAATAGTCACATTTAACAATATAAATAAAAATTATAAACAAAATATATATAATTTTATGATAACAAAAATTAATAAAACTATAAATTAATTTAAGTTATAGAATAATAGAAACTAATTTTGAATAATTTGGTATAATACTCCAATAAATTCTTTAATAGAATATAAGTGTATTCAAAATCTTATTATAGAGTGAGATTGTAAATTGTAACAGTGGAGAAGATAAAAAAAAAAAAAAAAAAAAATTATAATGAGAGAGGAGAAAAATATATAAGGAGTAAGAAAAAAAGAGAAAATAAAAATTAATATGAGTCTTAGAAAAATATAGAAAGTTTTACCAATTTTCACTTAAATATATATTTAATATTTAGTGTGTGTATATATGCTGATGTAATGAGGGTGAGAGAGAGCAAAAAAAAAAAAAAATATATATATATAATAATACAAAGATAGAAATATTTTTATTATTTTTTATTGAATTTAATTTTTTTTTTTTCATAATTGTGGTTGTATAAAAAGATAGAAATATTTTGGGCACACTTTGTATTTGTTGAGGTTTAATAATATAAGAAAAAAAATATATTTAGGTAAGTTACAATATATAAAGAAAAAATTTTTTGGGGCCCCTAAAAAAAAAAATATAAAGAATATAAATCTTTTAGGTCAACTGTCAAATTTCTCTATACGTTAAAGTTTAATAATTAAAGGAAATACTATAATTGTTTTAGGAAAGTTATAATATATAAAGAAATAAAAAATTATGAAGCCTTCTTATTGGATGGGGCCTTAGGCAACCGCCTAACTCACCTAAGGCTCCAGCCGCCCCTGGTCATGACCCGCCCGATGAAGTAACAAGGGCTTGTAAAACCAGTTGGTTGAATTCATGTGCTTTCTATTTCTAAGACATTTCCCAACCTATCTTCTCATTCTCTATAGTTAACCCCATAAAGTACAAGCTAAAGGACTCGCAAAAGAAATGACAAAAACATCATTATTTGATATCAATGAATATAATATACATCAAGTAAAAACCCAGAAATTTAGCAGTACTGTGAGGTGGAAGCATGATATTTTTGTGAAGGAAATGAAGAACGTGGTTGAAATTAAAGTTTAATCAAAGAAATATGGGAAACTGGTTGTGAAGGAAAATAAGAATGATAGTTCCAAGTGGTGTTGATTTGGAGGAGAAATAGAGGGAGTTGAAGAGGTTGGAGGTTGAGTTGGAGAAGAAAAAGAGGGAATTGGAGATGTTGGAGAAAAGCAAGAATGTAGTTCAAGTTGACGGTGATGGTGACGAGGTTGCTTCATCTAGTGAAAATATGGTTGAGAAGAGTGATGGGGTAAAGATTAATGAGGGGAAAGGTAGGATATCGAGTCAAACTCCATCAGAGGTTATAATTGAGGAGAAAAGTCAGGATGATGATGTATGTTGATTTGTAGGATTCAGAATCATCTGGTGAAGACGAGGCCCTTTAACTTCACATGGCAACCTCCAAACTACCCTGAAATCAAACTGTATGATACATACATAGTGATACATGCATGTCTAACGGCCCATTTACATGAACATGAAGAATATCTATGCGCAGTTGATTACTAAATCCCACAGCAGCTGCTTAGTAAGTAGAATTGAATTAAATCAGCAATCTACCTGTAACATGACAACAACCTAGTTCATCCATGTTTGAAATTAAAGATTAAGAAGATCTCGCAAAGACAGAGTTGCACCAACAACAAAAAAATCATTCAGTTGAAGGAAAGATATATTAGTGCAGCACAAAATCTCTAACCATTTCCAAACAAAATTGAATAAATACTTGGCAAAACAATCAAATTAAGATAATTAAAATCCAAAGAAAAAAAATTCGTTCATAAAGACCTAATTCAAAAAGGTGAGCAAGTATAGGGGATGTGTAAGCCACTTCAGTTAGGAAGAAGATATGAGCCACTCTTACCATCATAATCACGACCATGTAATTTTGAAAGGTCCAATTTTTCTTGATATAGTTTCAACAACTGAGGAGCTTCCTCATAACAGGTCACAAACTTCTTGAGGAACAAACTCTCCGTGGAATCCAACAATGTCCATATGCTAATGGGTTCCTTAATCAAACCTTTTGACAACAAAACTTTTAGTACCGAACACCTGAGAATTATCCTCTTACCCAAGCTCAGTGACATTAATTTTGGATGACGGGCAATTAGGGAAGACTTCTAACCCATTGTGTTGACATAAAAATTCAGCACCACCATTATTTTCTTCTCGGATATCATCATACACCAAGGATGTTTTGTAAAAGCCAACATTGTTTCTTCCTCAGACCAACCCCACTTCCTATAAACCTCCATCCTCCTTTTCCATGTTGATTTGCTCGCCATCAATGCCTGAATTGCTATAACAAATTGGAATTTTGAAGGGTTGAACCCAATTTTCTTAACATCCTCCAATACCTCATTTAATCTATCAGGCTTTGCCTCGAGTAACCGAGGATAATAAGTACATACCCACACAATTTTCGAATCCGGTACACCGTTTTGTCTCAAAATTTCGATGTTGCGGAATGTAATAACACTATGATAGCACATTACAGTATCATAGAATCTTTTAAAGGCCACCATAAGCTTATCATCTTAATTAAATAAATTCTTGAAGAAATTGACAGATGGGATGATTTGGATCTTCAAGCTTCGTTTCAGTAGAAGTGGCCATATGGATACCATCTTCGCGAGCTCAGAGCACGAAATGCCGGCGGAGTAAAGGAACTCGAATTTGGGCAAAAAGGTTTTATTGGGATCCGATAAGAGTAGTTTTGGGTGTTTTCTGATTAGATTTGAGATCTGGGTATTGCTTAAAAACAACGGTTCTTTAAAAACAGAATCGGAATCGGAACCGTATAGTATGGAATCGAACCATTTAGGTTCCATGAGAACTATAACGACCCGCTCTACCACATAGTATGATATTGTTCGCTTTGGGCCTGAACTCGCACGGTTTTGCTCTTGGGTTTCACCCCAAAAGGCCTCATACCAATTGGAGATGATGCACTTACATATAAGCACTTCACCTTTCCTCTACCCAGGCGATGTGGGACTTGTGCACCCGTAGCTCGCCAGTGTGGTAGCCTGACAGTGTCTCTCGCACCCGCCCACGGCACACTCGCCCACAAGGTCATCACAATCCACCCCCCTTGGAGGCCCGACGTCCCCGTCGGCACACTTCCGGCTGGGTCAGGCTCTGATACCATTTGTAACGACCCACTCCACCACATGGTATGATATTGTCTGCTTTGGGCCTGAGCCCGCACGTTTTTGCTCTTGGGCTTCACCCCAAAAGGCCTCATACCAATTGGAGATGATGCACTTACATATAAGCACTTCACCTTTCCTCTACCCAGGCAATGTGGGACTTGTGCACCCGTAGCTCGCAAGTGTGGTAGCCTGATAGTGTCTCTCGCACCCGCCCACGGCACACCCGCCCACAAGGTCATCACAATCCACCCCCTTGGAGGCCCGACGTCCCTGTCGGCACACTTCTGGCTGGGTCAGGCTCTGATACCATTTGTAACGACCCGCTCCACCACATGGTATGATATTGTTCGCTTTGGGCCTGAGCCCGCACGGTTTTGCTCTTGGGTTTCACCCCAAAAGGCCTCATACCAATTGGAGATGATGCACTTACATATAAGCACTTCACCTTTCCTCTACCCAGGCGATGTGGGACTTGTGCACTCGTAGCTCGCCAGTGTGGTAGCCTGACAGTGTCTCTCGCACCCACCCACGGCACACTCGCCCACAAGGTCATCACAATCCACCCCCCTTGGAGGCCCGACGTCCCCGTCGGCACACTTCCGGCTGGGTCAGGCTCTGATACCATTTGTAACGACCCGCTCCACCATATGGTATGATATTGTTCGCTTTGGGCCTGAGCCCGCACGGTTTTGCTCTTGGGTTTCACCCCAAAAGGCTTCATACCAATTGGAGATGATGCACTTACATATAAGCACTTCACATTTCCTCTACCCAGGCGATGTGGGACTTGTGTACCCGCAGCTCGCCAGTGTGTTAGCCTGACAGTGTCTCTCGCACCCGCCCACGGCACACTCGCCCACAAGGTCATCACAATTGAGTGGGCCGTTACAAATGGTATCAGAGCCTGACCCAGCCGGAAGTGTGCCGACAGGGACGTCGGGCCTCCAAGGGGGTGGATTGTGATGACCTTGTGGGCGGGTGTGCCGTAGGCGGGTGCGAGAGACACTGTTAGGCTACCACACTGGCGAGTTACGGGTGCACAAGTCCCACATTGCCTGGGTAGAGTAAAGGTGAAGTGCTTGGATTGTGATGACCTTGTGGGCGAGTGTGCCGTGGGCGGGTGCGAGAGACATTGTCAGGCTACCACACTGGCGAGCTACGGGTGCACAAGTCCCACATCGCCTGGGTAGAGGAAAGGTGAAGTGCTTATATGTAAGTGCATCATCTCCAATTGGTATGAGGCCTTTTGGGGTGAAACCCAAGAGCAAAACCGTGCGGGTTCAGGCCCAAAGCGAACAATATCATACCATGTGGTGGAGCGGATCTTTACAAAAAGGTTTTATTGGGATCCGATAAGAGTAGTTTTGGGTGTTTTCTGATTAGATTTGAGATCGGGGTATTGCTTAAAAACAACGGTTCTTTAAAAACAGAATCGGAATCGGAACCGTATAGTATGGAACCAAACCATTTAGGTTCCATGAGAACCGTTAATTGTTTAGTTTTATTTCCTTGTACCCTACCCTGGCTTGGGGAATAAGATAGTGTAGGAATCTGACCACCTCACATTAAGTAATTGGTATGAAATACACAAACAGAAAGAGAGAGAGAAAATCTAATTCAATTCAATAAAAATAAAAATATAAATAAATACAGAATACAGTGTAAGCCGTACTACAGATCGGTGAAGTCTAAGATGGTGTGTAACAGTGTAAGCCGCGATACAGATTTACAGAAGAGATGATGAGGAGTGAGGATGAAATCTGAATCGACCGAGTGTAGAGGATCTGAAGATGAGAGTAGAGGATCTGAAGATCTGAAGATGATCTGAAGATTTGAAAAGGATCTGAAGATGAAATATGAATCGACTGAGACGCCAATTGCCGAGGGCGATGAGGATTTGAGGAAGCTTGAGATTCAGTGACTGGGGAGGTGAGGGTTAGCTTGAGATGAGGACTTTGGACTAGGGAGGCAAGGGTTAGCTTGAGATGGGGACTGGGCGATGAGGGTATTGTGGAGGCGAGGGTTGTTAGCTTGAGCCTTGAGAGTTGAGATCCAGAGATGACTGATGAGACTTTAGGTTTTGATGATTTTTCTGATTTTTACTTTTTGACTTTTGTTTTGTTCTGTGGACCACGTGGCTACTTGTAGTCCTCATAACTTCATAAGACTATATTTGACTGAGTGTAGTTTAGTTTAGAAGCTATTGTTACTAAGACAATAAATAACTATATATATATATATATATATATATATAGTTCTAGTTCTTACCGGTTCCCAAGGGCTGGAATCGAAATCGGAACCGTACACCAACAGTTTCGAAATTAGGAATCGGGACCGGAACCGTAACCGTGAGAACCGAAAAAAACTGCTCCGATTCTCACGGTTCCGGTTCTTGTTCCACGGTTTCGGTTCTTTTATACACTCCAATTCATTTGTGATTGGGTAGACTTTATATATATATATATATATCCTATGGTATATATATAGAGTATATAACCTTTTATACGTTCTCAAAACTCCATAATATTTAATTTTGGAGCAAACAATTACTTAAATGCTGAAAAAACTAAAATATCCCTTTATAACTAAATAAAAAATAGGTAAAAAATTAATTAAATGTGGAATAACTAAAGTATCGCTTTTATTTATTTATTTTTATCACTGTTGGCAGCAAGCATGTTGTTGGCGATGAAGCCGGTCGTTGTTGGCAATGACCTGGTCTATTCGTCCCTATAATTTTATAAAGACCCAACCAGCGAAGAGTGAAGAGCTATAGCGACCCAACGGAGACCCAATCGAAGCGAGCGTGAAGCTACATCAACATGAAGATCAGCGAGACTCAAGTAGCAATGTCCATTGCATCCGGTGAGCTCGCAGCAATATCCATTGAATCCGCAAGCTTTTTTCAGAGACACAAATGTTCCGATGAGGTGTAGAGGCAAAATACTTCGAGATTGACACAGAGCTTCTCTTAAGGTGATCATTCTTGAGCGGCCAACTGAGCTTGATACACCTAGAAACTTAAATAAGAAGAAATCGACTAGAACTAGCGAGCTCCACGTTGTATCAGTTTGGCGAAGCTTTAAACAACGACACCGCTGATTCCCAAGCTTCAATGAAAATAGCTCAGGCAGAGAGAGCTTTAGTGAACCAGAGTGCATCAATGGTGAAGTCTTAGTGTGACCTTCCGTATTCTTCTGCATTTTTTTTTCACATTTTTTTCTCAACACCTCGTTTTATGTGTCGGACATCATTTAGCGTACCGTGTGGCACCGGAGTGCATTTGGGACATTTAGTTGAATTTAGAATTCTTATAAATGCATTTCATGTCTTTTTCTCTTTTTTTTTTATTTATTATTTTTGAGCCGAGGTCCCACATGGGCTAGACACTATGAATCTAAAAACACAAGAGCATCTATAAATAAATCATTGGAGATGAAAGGTGATAGACACTGTGAAGAGGAACTCACCAGATCATTAATCCTAGAAGTTCTTGAACCACCATAGTCAATTTCGTTCTCTGGGTTCGCGGCAATGAGTTCCCTTTGGCTAAAGCAAAGCTTATAACGGAATAGATATTAGACAACGAACGACGACGTTTGACCCATTTTGCTCCTTTTATTTGCTTATTTCTCTAATCTTGTGTAACAAGACATACTCCCTACTTGTCCCTTCTTATCTGTCTAAAAATGAGAAAAAAAGAGGGAAATGATAGTGTTTAAATAGTTCTTTTTTTTATTTTTTTATTTTTTATTTTTTATTTTTATTTTTATTTATTTTTTTTATCAAAACTATCCTCAATAATTAAAAAGGGTGAAATTATTATTATTATTATTATTTTTTTTCATAATTGGTATTGGTATTATATATAAGGATAAGAGTGAAATATAAGAGCACATAGGATATACCCTAAGAAACAGCTACAAAAGAGTATGATTATTGTTACACACATATCCCATCTATTTATTTAAAAATGTATGATTATAATTTGGTTGTTATCATTTCATTTCATTTCATTTCTCTATTTTATCCAAACAAAAATACTACTATTTCCCATCTATTTAAACATGAATAGAAATTATTGTTAATCCTAGAAGTTCTTGAAATTCAACTTATGTGGATAATGCAATAGATCTTACCACTATTGTGATCGATGTTAGAATTCTGACTTTTTGGCATTTTTGAACTTGGAATCAATCCTGAACATTTTGGTATCTTAAATGAACCTAAGAAACACTATCATTGGCCCAAAGTAGGTGAATTATACCATTTTTGACGTGAAGACCTGAAAATAACCAAATCCAAGAAAATAACATAAGTCACACTACTAAAGCATCACCATGGCACTAAAATATGCAACTTTAAGGGCTTAAATGTGCAACATTCAATGCTCATCATCGACCGGTTTAATTTATTATGCAGTGTTTGTATTTTGAGGCTCAACCTATTTAATTTGATTAGACCCGTTTAATTAATCGTGTCATAATTGTGTTATGTCAACCCAAATAATCCGTAACCCGTTTTAACCATTTACTATGACGTTTCTATTATTTCAATGTAAATTCATATGGCTATTGTATTCGGACTTTTTGCAATGTATTTTCCAAATTATTCTCTTCATGAATTTTATTTTCTATTATTTCTATTATTTCATTGCATTTTTATTTTTAAACCTTAAATTAATTCAAAAAAGTAACATAACTCATTAAAATTAAACGGGTTACCTCTATAATCTGTTTAATATATAAACGGATTATGTTTGTGTCGAGGGTTTCTGACATGATTATTAATGGTTCGTACTCGAATTGAACAATCTAGCAAAATACTCATAGGTCGACATGACATGATTATAATCCATGAACACAAATTGCCACCACTAGATAATCCGTGAAAAGAAAAAAAAATTCTAGAGAGAATGGTGTTAATTACTTATTATGTTTAGTTGATTTATGAAGGGAAATAAAGAAAATAATAATAATCTAAAGAAAGAAAATGAAACTATTTTAATGAATTTATTAGAGGACTTGATCCAATGGATTTGCCAGGGATGGAGGGCAAATACTCCAATTAACATGCTTAGGAAGATATGTATGTCAACTATGGTGTATCACATTTGGGAAGAGCGGAATAATGGGATATTTCGAGGGAAGCCATCGTCGGAGGATTAGTTCTAGCCAAAGTTTGTAACTCAATCACATCTCTTCTTCAACTGGGGTGCCTCAGGGATTGCTTAGATCAAGATCAATTTTGAGCAGCTGGAATCTATCGCCTTCAAATTGTAGACCTCCACTGCGTCCTTCGGACTGAGAGGTGGATCATCGTTGCTGCCTTGCAGCGTGCTCACTGGATTTGTAGCTGAATAGCTAAAATTAACGGGTAAACTTTAGTCCGTTAATTGTAGATATTTGGAAGGGAATTAGGGCTGAGCTTTTTGCTTTGCCTTTTAGGTATTGTTTGCCATATGGTTTAATTTGGGCCAAAGGTCTTTCTTGTAATTCTTTTTTTATTAATACAATTTGCTTTATCTTTAAAAAAAAAAAAAAAATTGTTATTCTAACCAAAACACCAAGCCAAATTACTTAAACAAAATATTTTTATCACTATTAGATGGTTTAACATGGAGCCTACTTGGATACCAAATACATGCAAGTAGAATGTATAGATTTAGAAAATAGTCGGGGAGTTTGGCTCACCTATCATTTTTCTTGGCTTCATTTGGTTAGGCGAAATCAATTAGAAAAGAAAGAAAATAGAAAATTTTAAATTTTTTTATTTTTATTTTTAGGGTTTGGATAGATAGAAAAAGAAACATAATGAATAATTTAGTTTCCCATACTTACCTATTTTCTACCAAAACTTTTCATGCACAAAACACACTAAAATAACATTTTCCTGTGAAAGAAGGGTCTTTTTATTTGACATTCCTATTTTACCCATTACTTAATTAACTTAATGGTGCAAAACAACTTATTTCTTTATTATTATTATTTTTTTTACTGGGTTTCAAAGATACAAGTTCTCTACAAAACAAAGTTTCTTTGTTTTTCCACAGGTTCATATATAATTGGCAACAATAATATACAATCAAATCTCTCTAAAAAAATTAGTCTTGCAATTAGTTTCTTATTTTTTTTTTTTTAAGTTTCGTTTCTCTTAAATAATAATTAATTCTACTTCTATCTAGGAAAATATTATGAAGTTTTACTTTAAATAAAAATAAAATATAAATAATTACATTATTAAATTTAATTATTCATCATTTTACTATTTCTTTGCTAAAAATAGACATTATCAAATACAAATTCGCTTATTTTTTAGTATTTGAAATTATAAGGGTAATTTTGGTATGTTTAATTACTTTCTTTTCACTCTCATGATATCCAAAAGAACAAACTAATATTTTTTTACAAATTTCTTGAATAAATTTTCATTCTAACTAAATGCATGCTATAAATTAACTTTGCTTTTATTTCATTTCATTTCTTACTTATTTCCATCTAATCAAATGAAACCTTATGTATTGTTCATCCCATGACCCTTCTTTTTCTTTTCAAAATTTAATACAAAAAGGAAAAAAAGAAAGAAAATAATAGTAAAAATATAAAGAACGGAAATGAAATTATTTTAATGAATTTACTATCATATTATTTAGAAAATTACTATCATATCATTTTTGTATGTAAATTTTGTATTTAAAAAAAATAAAAAATTGATATTAATATAATTCTATTAAAAATATTAATACTTCCTTATTTTTAAGAGGATTACAAAATCAACGTCTTAGATTAGGCGTGCACACGGTCCGGTTTGGACCAGATTGGAAGATTTTTGGGACCAAACCATTTATAACGGTTCCACTATTTTTGAAACCCGACCAAACCATAATGCCCATAAAACCAAACCAAACCAAACCGCAAAAAACCGGTTTGGTTTGACGGTTTCAATTGATTTTATTTTTTATTTTTTAAGTAATAGTTATGGCTGCAAAAATAAATTATTTTATTCAAATTAACAATTAACAAGTAATTGTAATAAAAATATATGATAAAATTAAAATTAAACTTACTTGATTCAAGAGCTTCAGTTTCATTACACGATGAAAAGTGATATAGAAGCGAAACTTAGAAAGAAAAAAAAAAAAAAAAATTGTAGCCATGACATTTATTAATCCATTATATTTTTGGGTTATATATATATATATGTGTGTGTGTGTGTGTGTGAATTAAGATAGAAACACTAGAAATAACCAAAGACAAACCTTTGGGATGCTTTGGATCTGGAGAGCAACTGAACAAGAGAAGGGTTTGTAGTGATGGAAGAAGGGTTTTAAGATTTAATGGGAGGGGGCAGAGCAAGGATTATAATTCAGAGGGGGCAAAGTTTAAAAAAAAATAAAAAATCAAATAACATAATATCATATAACACGCAAAAAGAATAATTTTAAGAAGAAAAAAGGAAAGAAAGTTGAGATATGATTCAAAAAGGAAAATTTGACTTTTTAAAAAAGAAAGTTGAGATATGATTCAAAAAGTTATAATTTTAGAAATTAAAAATTTAGGAGGCATGTGAGACGTGAAAATTTTATTTGATTTTGGTTTAGGGTATGATATATATATATATATATATATATATATATATATATATATATTATATAACATAGTAACGGTTCGGTCCGGTCTAGCAGGACCCTAAATCAGGACCGAACCAAAAAATTATGGTTCCATAATTTTGGACTCAGGACCGGACCAAACCGCTATACAATTAGCTCAAACCACCCAATTCAGACCGATCCGGTCCGATTTTTCGGTTTACCGAATTTTTTGAACACCCCTATTTTATATGGTTCAATATGGCACGAACTTGAATCCCAAATATATGCAAGTTCAACCGCTGATACATCTTTAAAATTATTAAATAACAAATATTAATATATTAATCGGCACTTTTAATAAAGTAACATGACTCTTAAAAATATTAAATATATATTATATATATATATATATAATTTTTAAAAATAAATCGGTCCGGGCCGGGCGAGTTATTTACTAAATTCTCCCCTGCGTCGAATTTTTAATTATTTTGTCATGAAAATCCACCTGTGAATGAAAGAAGGGAACCCTATCATTTGCCCTCCTAGACGTGGATTGTCTTGCTCGGCCAGTCAGGTAGCCAAGCCCTCATCTCTCTCCATAATCAAGTTTATATTTTGCCCAGTTCTTGGGGTTTAGTTGCGGAAGCAGAAATGTGGTTTTTGATTTTTTTTAAACAAAGAAAAAAGTGAGCTGATAGAAATGTAAAATTCAAAAATTTATGGTGTGTCTCCATCTCTTCCTCTGTGATTTATTATAGACTAAAGTTTGAGCTTTTATGCTTATTTATTTATTTTTATTATTATTATTTTTTTGTTAAGAAATGCGTTTGCTTTGTATTTTCTGACTTCCGCATCTGTAGAGTATTTTCTAATTGGTTGTGTTTTCCTTAATTTGATATATATATATATATATATATATATATATATATATATATATATATTGATAAGTTCCTTAATCTGATACTTTTTTTTGCTGTTTTATCGGCATTTATCCTGATCTTGTTTTAGTAATGATAGGTTTGGACTTTTTTTTTTCAAAAGGTAAAGAACAAATTAAGAATATTATTGCTAAAGATAATTCCCTACCAAAGTTTTTTTTTTTTGGTAAATCTCTGTAACCTGTTTTTCATTTTTAGGTTTTAACTGCTTATTTTCTGAAAAAAACGAGGATATTTTCTTTGCCCTTTTTTTTTTAATCATAAATTTGTGTTTTACAATTACTTCGTCGGAAATTTCTTATAATAATTACAGGGATGAAGTTTTATTCTCATTTCAATAACTATACCTTTTGTTAACTCCTTTTTTTCCACTTATTTTATTCCTATCCAAACTAGCTGGTTGTTAATCCCTAAATCTTTTTGCCTTTAGCCTGATTGAGAATATGAAAATGGAAATTTAGAACATCTATGGGTAACTCTTATATATATATATATATATATATATATATATATATATATATATATATATCCATTCCATTTTAGTTTTTTATTTTTATTTTTTGTTTTTATGATTCTTTCTAATAAGAAAGATTTTTGCTTTTTGTAGGGGTCTCACTTTTGTAACAATTTTGTTCACATGGAGACAGAGATAGATGAGGTTTGCATTCAAACTTCACTGATTGCAGTCATTCAAAATTGTTTCCTTTTTCCTTTTATTTTGTTTAAATTTCTTCTTCCAGCCTCACATTCATGTATATTTTACTAATCTATTTGACATTGATTATGACTATTTCACTCTAATTGCTTATTTTATTCTCTAATTGGTTGTGTTTTTCTTTAATAGCTAGTTCTATTTATTTCTTTATTTTTATGTGTAGTTTCAATTCTCGGGATTGTTTCATGGGGTCTATTGCTGATTTTGTTCTAACAATGACAGGATTGGACTTCCTGTATCTCTAAAGGTGAAAATGGAATCAAGAATAGCATATATGAAAGTCAAGTTAAGAATAGCATTGTACGAGATGATGAGGATAAATTCATTTCCCTTTTGGAGAAGTCTTTGGTGATAAATTCAAGGGACATGCTTAAACTGAAATTTGGTGACTTTGAAGTGTGCCCTTACAAACTATTGGCATTTATCTGCCGTCGTCGTGCTGTTAATTGTGGCACTGCATTGGTTAAAGGAAAGACAGATCTGAAATTGGATCTTAACATTCCGATCGACCAAGGAGTTTATCTGCTGCATGAAGCAGCTTCATCATTATCTCTTCGCTTAGTTGAGTTATTCCTCCACCATGGGGCTCGGGCAAATGTCCAATGCAGTGCAATTGACTCGGAACATAATGGGTTGCTCCCATTGCATGTAGCACTTGAAAGAGTGAGGTAGAACTTAGTTATCATACTATGCACTGTGCTTTCATGGTGGAACCTTTTTTCCTAATTGTATCCCTTTTGTTTCACTTCTCATCTTTCATTTTCATTCTCTATGTAGATATGATGAACGTCTGGCCCAGTGGACTCCTAGAAAATCCATTTTTAAGTTGATCATCATGCTTTGCCTTCCGAAAATGGTTTGTTCTTCACCAAGAATCTGTTATGTGTGTGTTCATGTACATATCAATTTTGAAAGGGTTGCTTACTCTTGAATTGTTTACTTTACAACCGTGGCAGAAAGAAGCGTTGGAGACTAATAGGTTACTTTTGTATAATACTTACGGGTTCAAGGAGGTAGTTCGCTATTTTGTCAAGGGCGGCAAACTCATTGAGCTGGCTGTTCTTTTAATGGTAGCTCGGGAAATAGTTATGGATCCACTCGATTGTCAGAATATCACTCCTTTCACACGCAGAATGGGATGCATAACATTACAGCAAAGCATCCAGCTTGAACTTACGGTACTAATTAATTATGAGTACAGATTAATGTACAGAAATCAAGAGAAAAAGTTGTACCGAATATGTAAGAAATTGAAGGCGACCATGATGTATAGTCTACAGATACTTGAAATTTTTGAGAGAGCTGGTGGTGCCATTGAGGCTTATCTTCAGTTAGACCGGACTAATGTGAGTTGTAATGACTTGTTTTTCATGTTTCTGTGTTGGTTCATGTTCGCCATATGGGAGAGCTGGTGGTGCCATTGAGGCTTATCTTCAGTTAGACCGGACTAATGTAAGTTGTAATGACTCTTGTTTTTCTGTGTTGGTTCATGTTCGCCATATGGGAGATCTACACTTTATTTGGTGATGCATATAAGTTGTTATATTTGCTTTGATCCCTTGGAGATTTACAAGTAGATGGGACCATATGTTATTCCTTTTTGCTCCTTCTATATTTCTTGCACATTGGCTTTGTAGCCAAAAGAGTTTCTTGTGATCTGATTCTGTATTACCTTATCTTTTTTGTATTGGCATTCATTTGAGAGAACTTTTATATGGTGGTTCTTTGTTTCCTTGCAGGTACCAGAAAAACAGGTTGCAGAAGAAGTTGCCGGGCTACTTGTGGATGCAGGGTTTAAATTGAAATCTAGAGACTCTGATTTAAGCAATATAGTACACCGGTTCTCTTTCTTTTCCACTCTATTCATGTTTGGTTTTGTTTTTTCCACATTTCTATCACTTCAAGGAAAAAAAAGAAAAAGAAAAAAAGAAGAATACTTCAATGTTTAAGCTATACTAATGAATATTCGCTACTGGTTGTGGCCTTGTGAAAAGCTGCCCGAACAAGCATGTCCTGGAACACTCAAGTGATTTGGTCGAGGAAGGAAAAAGTCAAACAGGTCATTAGTTGATTTCTAGTTCTTCAAATAGTTAATGCTGCTTCAATTTCATTTTCTAAGGGAAAATTAGAATTGAAAATACCAGATTAACATTTTCTTGGTTTATTCTTTCCTTCTATAGAAGTGCCTGGACAATGGGGATATAATCATCAAGATGTCCGTGCAGTGTTCTCACGACCAAATGTAAGAAATTAAATAAATCGTGTGTGTGTGTTTTTATTTTTATGTTAAAGAACGATAGCAACACAGACACTCGAGTGGCCGCCCAGTCATTAGTTTTCTGCTCACCCCTTATTTTAAACCTGTTCGACCAGATTGGCTTAACACCTCCCTTACTTTGTAGAAAAAGCCAACATATTTTGTAACAGATGACAACTGGAGGTTGATCCATACAAGGTTATCGCGTGGGTCCTCAGCTTTATCTTCTTCATTCCGGCAGTTGCATGTATCCTGGAACAGGAACAGGAACTTGGACTTGATCGGGAAAGCCAACTTCTGTTCAGGGTCTGATAAAACTATGGGAAGTCAAGTGAAGGAAAGAATAAAAGAAGTGCAATATGTGCGGAAATTTTCTCCAGGCAAGCAATGGGCTTCTTTTGTATTAGTGGTTAAGAGATGCATAAGATTCGTCTGACTCTCGAACGCTAATCTTGAGGGCATAAAGGATTATTTTCTTTGTTTTTCTTATTCCTTTCTAAGTTGTGGGACTTGTGACTTCATTTACTTTCTAGACGTTCTGCAATAAGACCCTCCGGGCATCCATTCATCATTACTGAGTAGCTAATAATAGAGATACTAGACAAGGGTATATATATCCATTGATCACTTGTCATCACAGCCCCCAAATAAGCCCACTCTGTTATAAGCCTTACTAATTAATATCCAATTTAAGAACCATATACGCTGCAGCCCCACTCTTCATCTTTTTCAGATAATCAGTTGTCTCATTGGCAACTAGGATATTAATATTATCAAAGGACTACACGTGACATTCCGAATTTTCACAAATTCGAATATATCAATGTGACCCTTTAACGGATCCGGAATGAGGAAGCGAAAACAAAGAAAATAATGTTCGCATTCCATAAACACTAGAGTGACTTCACGGAATTTAAAAGAAAACAAAATGCGGAAGCGATATTTTAAAAACGGACAAGTTTAGTCTTAGGGGCAAAATGGTAATTTCTAAAAAGTTATGGGTGCTATCGAGTACACCATTGGATAGACAACGAAAGACTCAAAAATCACTCGATTCGGAGACCGAACGGAAGCGAACGGCCAAAAACAAAAATGGACGTTGTCGCGGTCGAGGGAGGCATCAGGGTCTACTTGCGCCGAACAATTGAATTTAAGAGAAGTCAAAAAGTAGATATTGTTTATATAATACCATCTTCTTCTTCTTCTTCTTTTTTTTTTTTTTTTTGAAATTTTATTGTCAAAACCGGTAAGGTTTTTCACATCAACAATGTAAACTTCAAGATTTAAAGACATTCCAAATTAATTTTTAAAAAATCAGTGAAGGAAGATAAAAAAAAAAAATAGTTCTTCCATGCTTCCTGTGCCATGCTTCTTGTGCTAAAAAGATCAATTACTTTATTTAACTCCACCATTTCTTTATCATTCATTCTTACATGAGTAATGATACTTACACCGATTTGTTGCACCGAATATTTCTGATTGGTTATTTATGTATAGTATATGTAAGTGGAGGGTCCCACTTCTTTATTTATGCGATTTGTTGTAATGAATTGTCAGACCATTTTCTTTTTATCGGTCCATTAATGTATAAATAAAGAAGTGAGGTCCTACACTTACATGTACTATGTATAAATAATCAATCAGAAACATTCGGTGCAATAAATCAGTGCAAATATCATTACTCTTCTTACATAGGAGAGAGATAAGATAATTAATACAAAGTAAAAAAATAATTCGTTAATTAGGGAGAGAGACAAGAAAATATATTTCCATAATTGAAAGGGTAATTATGGTATTTGAAAATTAACAATTATTTTTGTATAAATTAGGGATAGAAGTGTCATTTTCTTTAAACGTGTAGTGCAAATGTAGAAAATTGGAGTGCAAATATCGCCTTCATATATATATGTATATCCTATTGACACACAAATAAGACTCATACGAGGCCCCAATTTATATCATGATTGCTAGGGATATTTATGTCAGTTTTTTTTCTTTTATTTATTTATTTAATAATAACACTTACCTCGCTTTTAGATTGCCTAAATAACAAGGACATTCTTTGTGGTTTAAAAAATAACTTTGCCCTCACCTATCAATGTTGACTTTGGCCCGAAAGTTTTACATAACAATTACAGTAATTTTATTTTATTTACCAATACGATATACGGACAATAATGCTTTTTCAAGCTTTTTAAGGGCAAATCTGAGTTGTAAGTAAATTTTAAGCATCACATAAGTAGAAAATGCTAATAGATTTTATGACCAAGGAGATTAGTGTTACTTAGATCAAAATTTTAAGCATCACATAAGTAGAAAATGCTGATAGATTTTACGACCAAGGAGTTTTTTTTTTTTTTGGCTGGCACCGGAACTTACCTAGGTAGGGCCCCTTAGGGACCCACCCCAGGCTACAAATCTGGGATGCTGTCGACGGCCCCACACCTTAGCAGCAATTTTAGTCGAGGGTTATAATTGCGATGGACGGGTTCGAACTTGGGATATGAGCGTTCCCATATTGTTACCTTACTAACTCGGTCAAGCCCCCGGGGGCTTTGAAACTAGAGTTAGGCCTCTGTTATTAGGCATTTTACAGGGGAGGTAAGTGTAACAATCCCTTCTTCTTCTTTTTTCCTTGGTCATAAAGTCTAGATTATTCGTAAAAACCTAAAGCGTCATAAGATGTAGAAGAGACGGTTTATATATTGTTATACATTATGTGAGATACGTATTTTATGTATTAACATATTATATATTCTTAAAATGAAACAACATGGCCCAGGGAAAAAGTGATACAACATGAAATGAGAAATATCATATTGAAAAATAAAATAAAATTGAAGACCATTCCTTTTTAGATACAACTTTTTCTTGATTTTGGGTTAATTTAATTTATAACCACTTAGGGAGGCCTATTTTTTATTTTTCATTGGCAATAAACGCACTCACTGTTGTGAGCAGATGCACCAGTAGCACTGATTAAATTATTAATGCAATACCAATCTGATGAGAGGGAACTAGGTTCTTAGATGTAATGAAAGAATTAACTCTGTCGTGATATTAAAGTTCTAAATCTGGAAATTCAAATTTGGAATAATTGAGAAACAATGGTATGTACTAACCTATCACGCGAATTGTAGCAGTAGATTGACTGGATGGCGCCGCAAGGTCTACTCCTTAAACCCTAGCCTCTAATCCTTGAAACCATAGCTGGGGTGAGATCATTAATTCTTATTCTAAAATTTGTCTTACAAAACTGCCAAAATAAAGCCTCTATATTTCTTTAAATACTAACATAAAAAAGCTACTTTAGTAATTTGCATATAAGCCCCAAAAATATAAAAAAAACTTTTCTAATACCCCATGCACTTAACTTCTATTACAAAAGCACCCCAAGTATCCTAAGACATCCCAAAATTAAACCTTGAATGCAACATCCAAAACTTGAAACTACAAAAATACCCCTAGACTACACTACTTGCTAAATACCACCCAAAACACCACATATTGCTATATATATATATATATACATAAATTCTCATCATTCTACCCCTATTAGAAAGAACTTGCCTCCGTGTGAGTTGCTAATTTGCAACCTTGCACATTTCGTCATCAAGCTTCACAAACTCCTGCTCATTTATTTACGAGTTCTCTATAACGACTCAAATCTACTGGATCTAAATCACTAACCGGGTCCTTGCCCGAACCTGAGGTCATGCAAGGGTACTACGGTCGTTTCACATTTATTTAATACTTTAGGGTTCAACAAGGATAAAACAGTCATTTAGTAAAATTATGAGGGTTCATATCCCAAAAAAGGTAAAACAGTTATTTACTAGGGTTTTACAATGAATATGATGAAGTACATGGGAAAATTTGATCGATCAGATGGCCTTTCCAGTGTGTATGCAAGGCTGAAGAACCATCTAACCAATCAGATGAGGAATTTGATCGATCACATAGTCATCTAACCGATTAGATAGGGAAACCAGTGTAAGAAGCCCCCCGTGAAGAACATCTAACCGGTTAGATGGTGCATCTAACCAATCAAATGAGATCCATATCTGATCTAACCGGTTAGATGACCCCGTCTAATCGATCAGATCATGCCCAGGTACAATGTGATCGAACAGATCACCTCTGAACTGGTCCATATACATCCCAAAGTGATGAATCATGAAAATACAAGTCTAAGAACATCATAATATGTAAAATCAACACATATATCAATCAAATATGCCGTTTATACATCGTTTGAAGGTTAAATCATACAAATATGTTTTATACAATTTTGAAAGAGTTCAATTACAAAAATGAGGCCGTCATGGCTGTTATTACATAGCTTTAACAAGATGGTAATCCTAACTACGCCTAAGTCCATGGATGCACATCTTTTGCTATATCATCTCCAAAGTCCTGAAAATGTTAAATAATAGGGTGAGCTCAACAACTTAGTAGAGTAAGCATAAAATACATTCCTAAAAATCCCGTAAGCCACAACAAAAGAAGAGGAAATTAATGAATCAAGGAGGGATGAATTGGTTCTTCTAATATAACTTATTCTTTTGCAATAATAGGTAATCAGTGACAATGTAGTTTATCAAGTAGCTATATGAAGAGCTTCTAAATCATTCACTAGTGTACAATGGTTTTACAAGGAAAATCCTACTAAATATAGGAAAAACCTTGGTTCTTGGTTTCAGCTAATGTAAGCTCAACTAGTTGTATTCAAGTAGTTACATACTCAGTTGTCTCACACTCTGCACACACCCTTGTACAAGTTGAAACACTAGTTTTCACAGCCTTTACACACTCACTAGCTCTACTTGGTGCTCAACAACACTCCCTCTGTCTTAAACAACCCTTCTTTGAGCTCTCACAGCTTACCAAATACAATAAAATGTATGAATAACAACAATACTTAAGTATACACATAAGATAAGAATGGTTGTGTAACTCAAAGTATCAAACAACAAACGATAGGC